ACCTGCCAAGACCTCGGGGCCGTTCTCCTCTTGCAGAGTGAGGCGGTCGCCAGGCTTGGCTGAATAAAGTCTTTGCAACGAGAACTCTATCTCTTGGTTCAATTTTAAAAACTAAGGACCTAACATTTGGAGGCCCCAGCGAGATCAGGGCGGCTGGCTTGACTCCTCCCTCGGTGATTACCGACTCTTTGTCAGAGGTTGGCCACCCTGATAATATTCCAGGGCCCCGGCAACTAGGTCAGCATCCCTGGGGGTGGAGCTTGGGCTCTGCAGCCGCCTGCCTTGTTCCAGAGACTTTATTTGGGAATCCTTCGAAGGTAAGAGGTCTTTATGGTCTCTTTCTGGTCTGGGTCGTGACATCTCGAGGACTCTAAGGGGCCAGACGTGGCACACACCCTTGAGTCTGGGGAGCTCCTGCGACAGCAGCGAGTCTCCTGGTTCGGGTCAGGGAGTCACGCACCCACTAATCATGGGTAATAGACTGTGATTACTGGACCGGGGGGCTCAGGGAGTCATGCACCCACTAACCCTAATACTGGGGAACAGACCGTGACTACTGGCCCGGGGGTTGTTGTTGTTGTTTGGGTCAGGAAATGTCACGCACGGTGACCACTGGCCCTCTCCTCTAGATTCCTGGAGGAGTTTGTGCTGTCTTATCTGTTTTGGAGCCATGTTTGTCTCTATTGTTCTTCTCATTGCCTGGTCTGTCTCTGGAAAGTCAGTTTTATGTGTTTTTTTTTGTCGTCTAATTCTTGTCCCTGAGAGATGGGACACCTCCAGAGGCGTCGGCAGCGGGACCTGGTAAATTCCTCACGTTCCATTAAGGAGACCTGTTTTGTTCCTCATAATCCTATAAGTAAACCTGTTATGTCCCCCGTAAGTAAACCTGATATTTGGATGTCTTCTCTGTTTTTATCAGTCTGTTTAGCAGAACTTGGTTCTGGTCTAGTTAATTGGTACAAGGGGTTGTTACACCTTGGTTCTGGTAAAAGAGTGCACAGGGGGTGTACCTAATATTTAACGAATGTCTGTCACATGGTCCCTGTCTTTTGTTGTCTTTTTAATCTGTTTGGTAAACCTGGTATCTGGATAACTCTCTTGTATGGGCCATGTTTCTTATTGTCCTTTTTGTCTATTTGTTCAGCATCTCCTTAATAG